GAATAATTTGCTGGAAGATTTTGGCTGGAATTATGTGAGTCTCATCTTCATCTCTGAGAAAACGTAAGAAATGCAAATTGAATTGCAGGATTTTCCGAAAATCTTAACCCCAAGTCCAAACCCAATACTCCATCATTTTTTATTTTTGTAATTTTCTTCTCTATCTTCATAAATTAAATTCATTGGTCCTACAAAGCTTCATGTTTGTGTGAACAATGCAATTTGGTGATGTAGTTCAAGAGAATTCAGGTTATGTTATTTCAAATTAAATATGCTTGATGTCACTGATTTTAGTTCTCAATGCTTCAGGTGGCTTGGTTCTCAATTGGGTTCCCAAAAATATGATTTTCAAAATACAAAAATGTGGGGAAAGATTGTGTCTTGGATGGAGGATGCTGTCCAGGAAGTACAGTTCAAGTGAACCCATAAGGCAATTTTCTGACCCAACCAAAGCAATATGCAAAATCATGATGTCTTGCCCAACACTGGCACTTGATACTGCCCTTGACCAAAGTGGGATCAGAATTTCACCTGAAATGGTAGAGGAAGTTCTCATGAGATTCCAGAATGCTGGTATGGTTGCGTACCGATTCTTCGAATGGGCAGGGAAGCAGCGGAATTACACACATAGCGTGAAGGCTTACCATGCCATGATTGAGTCTTTGGCCAAGATAAGGCAGTACCAGATGATGTGGGAGCTTGTGAACTCAATGAGGGCCAAGAGAATGCAGAACATGGAGACATTTAGCATAATTATGAGGAAGTATGCTAGGGCCCAGAAGGTTGAAGAAGCGCTTTATACATTTAACGTTATGGAAAAGTACGATTGTGCTCCAAATTTAGCAGCGTTCAATGGCCTGCTGAGTGCTTTGTGTAAGTCCAAGAATGTGAGGAAGGCTCAGGAGATTTTTGATAAAATGAAGGATCGGTTTGAGCCAGACTCGAAGACTTATAGTATATTGATTGATGGGTGGGGAAAGGATCCGAATTTGCCTAAGGCAAGGGAGGTCTTTAGAGAAATGACTGATGCTGGTTGTAATCCTGATATAGTGACTTATGGTATCATGGTTGATGTTCTTTGTAAGGCAGGGAGGGTGGACGAAGCAATTGAGATTGTTCGGGGCATGGATGATGGTGGTTGTACACCTACATCTTTTATTTACAGCGTTTTGGTGCATACATATGGGGTGGAACACAGGATTGAAGATGCTGTTGGCGCATTCTTGGAGATGGAAAGGAATGGAATCAAGGCTGATGTGGTGGTGTATAATGCCTTGATTGGTGCCTTTTGTAAGACTAACAAGTTCAAGAACGTGTATAGGGTCTTAAATGATATGGATTCCAAAGGTCTTAAACCCAATTCAAGGACCTGCAATATCATTTTGAATAGCTTGATTGATCGTGGAGAGACTGACGAGGCATTTAGTATCTTTCGTAAAATGATCAAACTATGTGAGCCCGATGCAGATACGTATACTATGATGATAAAGATGTTTTGTGAGAAAGATGAGCTAGAGATGGCTCTCAAAGTCTGGAAGTACATGAAGCAGAGGCGGTTTGTGCCGAGCATGCACACATATTCCGTCCTTATAAATGGATTGTGTGAGAAGGGCAATACTTCAAAGGCTTGTGTCTTTTTGGAAGAGATGATAGAGAAGGGGATTCGGCCAGCAGGTGTGACATTTGGGAGATTAAGACAGTTGCTGATAAAAGAAGGAAGAGAAGATGTACTCAAATTTCTAAATGAAAAAATCAATCTCCTGGTCAAGGAGCCTTTATTTGATTGAGGTTTCAAGACTGGCAACTGAGAAAACTTGTAGTGTTTGATATTCTCAATCCAACACTGACGAGTTCTGGAGTTGTATTTGGCATTGGAGAACCAAGTTGTCTCTAATAGCCTATTTGTGACTGCCTTGCAAGTTTACAGAAAGAAATCAAGAGGAACAGCAAGTGGTTCCGTCACCCGCAGCATCAAAAGGAACAGCCTTGGAGCTACAAGTGTTTCAACTGTATCTGTTATGCCACAACTGAAGCAAAAACAAAGGGTATAACAATTACCTGGCCTTGTACAAAAAGTAACCACAAAGATATCTTCAAACTCTATCTAGGGCAAATTTGAAGCATTTCAGAGGCCGTGCATAGGATATTTTCTGAGGCATAAGTATATGCGTGAGTCCCAACGGCGTATGTGTTCTGACAATCAGCTATGGTCCATCAGATCATCGGTGTACGGATTGAAGAACGTTAATGAACCTCTTTCAACATGCTGGTGGTTGTATTATATTTTAGGTTGTGTTTGGTTTTCAGATGGTTGTCTCATCTCTATCAAGACGGATCTTTGTGAAATGGGTTTAAACTAGTAAGTTAATCTTTATGCCACCATGTTGATCAGGAAGAAGTCACCTAAGCAATTGCTAATTAGAGGTAAACCATTTTGGTGGTAAACTTTGCAGCACCTAAAGGACCTAATGTTGAATCCACGATCAACAGTAAATAAGAATAAAAATCTGCAGTAAAGAAACTCATATGTATGCCCTGTTGAAGCTTATATCTCAAGGCTTAAATAAGCGGGTAAAACTAGCAACGCATCAAATGACATCTTTCGGAGTCTGTATAATTGACAAAGAACTGATACATATAAAAATGATACTCTTTTTTAGTTTTAGTTCTATCTCTGAATTATAATTAGAAGGAAAGGAAACAACAAAATTTCAGAACAGCTGATCATCAAATCCTACACTGTAGACTCAGTGCCTTTTCGATTTAGATTCACTTTTGGCAAGCATTATCCCTGAAAGCTTGTTGACCTCGTACAGTAATCCGGCTGAAAACAAGAAACTGCATACAAAAATTAGATCATTAACAATATTGTCAGCATATACATCTCCAAGAGTCGCAAAAAGTTCATCAGTCAATCATATGAACGGAGGCATATCTTTCAAAAATTCCAAATTTAAATCTCTTATTATGACAAAAAATGGAGATAGAGCAGAAATAATAATCCCCCCTCTTCTTCCTAATTTCTCTTTTTGAAACCACACTCAAACTCAAGTATACAACATATATTTTTTTCGGTTTAATTCAATAAAGTTTATTGCATGCACTTGACCATAAACCTTTCTGTTCAATTTGTACACCAAAAACTTAATACCAGGTACTACCTGAGCATAATTTATTATTCAAAAGCTTTTGAATGCAAATACCTGTGTTAAAGTTTGATTTTAGAATGTCAGATACTTTTTTAATCAATTACTGATGATTGTGACTTTTTTTTCTAGGGCACCTTTTTCTCCAATGAAAAACATAGTAAAATTATGCTTTGCCTTGCGTAGGCCCACCGAAAATGTCTGGCTCCCTATCTATAAGAGGACTGCACCCAAACATGTTCTCCAGAACATGCTCATGTAAGAATATATCAAATGTATAGTTGATCATGAAACTAACTTACCATGTTGTGATACAAACTCGATGGACAGTGCCAGCAGCAATAAGAGCAACTGCTTCTGCTATAATAACTGCAAATGAAAAATAGCTAATTTTGGTCACCACAAAAAAAGTTTTTAGACACCTTTAATAGGAAGCATCTTGAATCTTGCACTAAACTTTCATCCATCTTCTTTTCTCTTCCCAACTAGGAAATCCCAAACATGAGAAAACTGATATAGTAGGCTACTATAATATAAGAGTTGCAAACCCTCTTGTAATCATTTTCTTTGTAATATGAAGCATCCTTTTGTTTTTAATCTTTTTATCTTGTTCATTTTCTGTCAAACATCAAAGAAATATGTAAAAAAGAGAGGGTTGGTCACAGTGGAAACAACCTAGAGATGTCATGGAGCAAGCAGTTAGCATATCACTGGCGACACCTAGGTCATGCATGAAGTTCTATCTGTTCCTAGAGAATGTGCTGGCGACAGTACCATATCACTGGTGGCTCACTCATATGAACAAAGACAGTGTACTTCAATAGCTTAGATAAGAAAAGAGAGAACATAACTAGGACAAGCACGTTGTCAAATCCAACAAAATGAAAGCATGAAACTTCCTTGAGCAATGACATTCTACAAAATGCGCTCAATTGTACGGAATATAAGGGGGTGGCATTTTAAGAAATTCCAATTCACAATGACTCTCCAAGTAACAAACAAATTCAAGCCAACACACACTCACCGGCACCCCAGCCAGTCCTTACGCCACTTGTTTCTTGGAGATTTCCAATGAACTGCAACAACAGAAACCAATGGCAAGGATATAAGCTTGTTATGCAGGATAATAAACAATAAAGTTTTTCTGAAAAAAATAATAATAAAGAGCTTTGAACTTACTGTGAAGAGCACAAGGAATAGGAGAGAACTAATGAAACCCCCAAGAATGGTAAACAACTCTGTTGATGCTAGCTTCCCTCTGTACATCTGTTGAAGTGATAGAATGACAGTGAACAGAAGGAAGGAATACAACATGGAACTACCCGGCCCCGCCATGAACTCCTAGTTGACCACAAGAAACAAAGTCAACAACAACAAGAAGAAGAAGCTCAGAAATGCTCAGTTGCAGAGAAATAAAAATAAAAAGCACCAATTAAATCAAAAGAAAAGGGAAAATGGGCTTGCACGCGTTCATCAATTTGTTATCTTGCACAGTACAATTTTGACAAAATGGGACTAAAACCGCACCAGATCTCAAATTCACCATTAAATTTACATAAAAATACAGACTTTTTCATGCCCAAAACAATAATTTGAGTACAGATTTCTAATGTACGTCAGAATTTTTCGTGTGATCAACCAAAATGAAAATCAGCTGATCAATACCCTAAACAAATGCAACTGTAAAAGCAGGTTCATTTGAGCGCGAGCACATTTCTCAGCAACCAAACAGAAAACGTACCTCAGAATAGCAGTGTAGCTACCGATGAGCTCTTACTTACAGTCTTAGATCTCCCTTCCGTCACAACTCGATCAGCAGAGTCGCGTTTCGGTGAGCCCAAGAGTTATATAATTGAGAAGGGCAATTTCGATAATACGGAAAACTCGCGGGACAAAAACGTCCAACAAAAAGAAAACCAAAAACTATAAGGGCAAAACGATGTCGTTTGGAGGCAATGGAGAGATGGAGTCGCTGGACTTGCCGGAGTGCCCGGTGTGTTTGCAGAACTACGACGGCGAGTACACAATTCCGCGCGTGCTCGCCTGCGGTCACTCGGCGTGCGAGGCCTGCCTGGTCAGGCTTCCCGAGCGCTACCCTGAGACTATTCGCTGCCCGGCGTGCACCCAACTTGTTAAGTACCCCCCACTGGGCCCCACCGCTCTGCCCAAGAACATCGACCTCCTCTCCTTCTCCCTCTCCCTAAACCCTAACCCTAATTCTCGCAGTTCCCAGAATCCCCAAAAACAATCCACCGATGGAGTTTGTAAATTCCTGCCTCGCATTTGGTCCGATGAGTTTTATGACACCTGGAAGGAGTGGGTGCTTCCGAACGACTCCCTATCGGTGGAAACAGAAGTTGGTGATGTAACAAGAGATGGGCTCTGTACTGTGTTGAAAGGAAGAACTGGTTCTGGTTCTGGTTTTGGTTTGGGGTCGGGTCGGGTTTATTTTAGAGAGGATCAGAGTGTGAGCTTTGTTCAGGTTGGTTCATTACCGAATTCGGGTAGTTCTGGTTTTGAGTTAAGTTACATTGCAAGGGTTATGAAGTGTTTGAGTGGAATGAGAGAGGGAGAGAGAAACGAATTGGGTCTGTTGCTTAGAGCTTCTGTGAGACAGTGTAGGAAAGTTGGTAAAGTTTATGGCTTGTGGGGTAATTCGGAAGATGGGTTTTTGTATGTGGTGTGTGAGAGAAGAAATGGGAGTTTTTCAGAGAAGTTGAATGAGTTGAGAGATGGGGATGGTTTTGGTACAGATGGGTTGTCTGCTTTTGCAATGATTGCTATGGAGGTGTGTGAGGCAGTGACTGGTTTGCACTCAGAGGGGTTTGCTTCTGGTTGTTCTGGTGTTTCATGCTTTGGTTTCGATGATTTTGGTCACGTTTTTGTGGATTTGAGTGAAGTCTTGGTGACAGGAAGGAAGGCTTGGAGAAGTGTTGTAGATTCTGTTTCTGGTACAATGGGAATTGATGCTGAAGTATTGGGAGTGACCTTTGGGAAGTTATTGAAAGATGACGTTTTCGTTAGCCCAGAGGTGTTGTTTGAGGCGTTGCAGAAAGAAGGCATTGCAGTAGAATGTGACAGCTCAAGATATCTGGTTGGATATGGTTCGGATGTTTATTCATTAGCTTGTGTGTTGGTGAGGCTGCTTCTTGGAAAAGAATTTAGTGAAGAGATTGTGAAAACTAGTGAAAACCTTTTTCGTGATCATTCAACTCATGCAAGCTGGATTGAAAGAGTTAGTGCTTTGCTGGAGATTAGATTCGGTTCAGAATATGCATCACTGAAAGAGAATCTTTGCAATTGTTTGAATTTCAATCCAGAAAGTCGACCACTTGTGATTGATGTGATGAAATGCATTAGGGAACTGATTATTAAACCTCGATGTGATATCACGGCCGGTTTGGATGGGGTAGTTAAGGACGAGAGCACAAATTGTTGCTTGATTCTGGGGGAACTGTGTCATATACCCAAGCAAATATCAGAAACACAGAAAGAAAATGAGTTGCAAGGAAGTAATGTCAGTGGAGGAGAAGATTTTGATCAAGTTGGGGATGAGAGGACTAACAATGGTGTTGTTGATGGCCTCGCAGAGGGGAAGGTCAAATCTAAAGTTATGCAGGGCCATCGTGACTCCATTACAGGATTAGCTGTTGGAGGTAGAATTATTACAGAGTACTTTTTAGATTGCATATCTCATACTGTTTCCATTAAGAAGTGTTCATGCTGCTGGAGGGTCTGAAAATTGATATTGAAGTGCTCCCTTCTGGACGAAAGATACATAGATTTATACATTAGTCTCTAGTCATGATGCTTGCACACTTTTTTTTATTCATCAAGTATCTGACATTTTATTTGTATTTTCACTTCTTTCTTGTAGGGGAACTTCTGTTTAGCTCCTCATTTGATAAAACCATCCATGTATGGTCTTTACAGGTACAGACTCAAAACGGCTGTAATTTTTGGAGTTGGTTTTTTCGTGAGATTAAAGTGGAACCATCTTTATGCAGTTTCTTTGTGTGTGAGCATGTGTGTGTTCATGTACAAACATGAGTAGTTTCCTGCTACCACATCTACCAAATAATTTCTTCTAATGTATTAAACTTAGAAATGCAGCTTTTCTTTATTGATCTGCTTACTGAACGCTTGATATCTTAATGATTTGACAAGGTGGGGAATGTTGATTATTATGTTTGTATGCTTGCAAATATGTGGTGAATATATGCACACAACAAGCACTTTCTCCATGTTTTCCCTTTCACTAAGTTCTGTCATGGCAAATTCCATGCAGGACTTCTCTCATGTACATACATTTAAAGGTCATGAGCATGCCATCAAGGCTCTCATTTATGTAGATGAAGAGCAGCCCCTGTGCATCAGTGGTGACAGTGGAGGTGGCATATTTATCTGGGGCACATGTACCCCTCTTGGGCAAGAGCCTTTAAAGATATTGTATGAGGAGAAAGATTGGCGCTTTAGTGGTATTCATGCCTTGGCCTCCAGAAATGGATATGTTTATACTGGCAGCGGAGATAGAACAGTAAAAGCATGGTCAGTACGGGTGAGGGGTTTGCATTAATAAAATTTTCTGTTATTTTCTATTTATATGCATCTTTTCAGATTTTAAGTGGAAAAAAAACCTTTTTCTCCTTTGAAAAATTTCAGGATGGCACCCTGTCATGCACCATGTCTGGTCATAGATCAGTAGTTTCAACACTTGCAGTTTGTGATGGTGTTCTTTATAGCGGAAGTTGGGATGGAACCATCCGATTATGGAGTCTTAGCGATCACAGTCCTTTGACAGTACTAGAGGAAGACACATCTGGAACTGTGACCTCTGTCTTATCTCTTGCTGTTGACAGGCATTTGCTTATAGCAACCCATGAAAATGGATGTGTAAAGGTTGCCCTTAATCCTCACTGCGATATCTTCCTTTTCTTCTTAAGATAATAATCATCATTTCATGATTAAATTTTCACTTAAATAGGCCTTTATTTTTTGGGTTTCTTCAGGTCTGGAGGAATGATGTGTTCATGAAATCCATTAAAATGCACAATCGTGCAGTATTTGCTAGTGGCATGGAAGGCAAATGGCTTTTCACAGGAGGCTGGGATAAAACTGTAAACATACAGGTACATGTGCAAAATATGGTTTCATCCCATTCTTTTTTATTTATTTTTAATTTCTGATATTTTTATCAGATGAAGCTGGTTTGCTATGTCATCACACTTAAGAATTCTTACAAATTCATTTGCATGTCACAGGAATTGTCTGGCGATGAGATTCAAATAGATTACAGGCCTGTTGGATCTATCCCCTGTGATTCTGTCATAACAACTTTGTTAAGCTGGCAAGGAAAGCTTTTTGTTGGACATGCTAATAGGAACATCATGGTATGCTCTCTTCTTTTCACTTCTTTTTAGGTGATGAGTATCTTGTCTTCCGTTTACCATGATAAAATTCTTTTTCCTTTTTTGGTAAAACCATGATAAAATTCTGGATCACATACTTTGATTGCTGCAGGTGTTTTACTTGGCAAAATGACCAACCGTTAGGCAATGCTGTTATGGTCTGTTTGTTTTCTACTGTTGATTAAGCTTAGCTGATGCTGAGTGCTCGTTGATTCGGGAGATCTACCACCGGTCTGTGCATTGTCGATAGATTGAACTTTGAATCCCCTGTCGAAGAGTGTTACAGACTGCATTATCCTGCTGCTGGCATGTTTGCACATTGTACCAGCAACGTACCAGTCCTGCAGATACACAATTTCGTGCAAAAACAAGGATATATTTTTCTTTCAAAATGTTGGTTCATGTAAATACAAAGTTCACGACGTAGAAACATGTTATACAAAAGATTATGTATTTTCTGTTGGGAAGAAACAATGTTTGTACATAGTAATACAAAGCCACAATATAATGCGTGTGTTAGCCCTAAAGTGTTGTTCAGCACCTTCTACGCATATCAATACACAGATTGGCGCAGGAACATACATGGGGTCATCATATATGAAAGATAAAATATCATAATTCATTAAAATTTAAATAAAAAAACAAATAATTTTTTTAAGTATATATATATTGTTTAAATTTTTTCATTTTAGAATTAAGTAAGAGAAAATAGATCTAGTTTTCTTTCATGAAAATAAGACTCATGTTCTTATTTTAATTTTTTAAATATGAAAAAAAATATTAATTTACTATATTATTCTAATTTAATAAATAGTTTTATATCTTAATATTTTCATTAACTAAGAGCATTTTGTGAAATTTTGAATATTTCACTATTCTCCTCCACTTTTTCCATTTAAGATATCATTTAACTTAAATAAATAAATAATAATTTCATTTCAATGATTTCACCATTTGATTTGAGCAGGGGGAAATTAACGGACTAAACGGTACACTCCAGTTCTTCTCTCTCACCCTTGCTGCCTGGAAATCGTACTGACCTTAGTAGCTGAATAGAGGGTTCCCGCTTTCTATTTGGCTTCACTTTGACAGCCCAGAGCTTGATATGATATGGCAACCCTTCCTTGCCTCCAAAGCCCCTGTTTTCTGTCCCTGAAACCACTCCCACAACGCTCCACCCTCGTCTTCACCAACCACCCCCACTCCGTTTCTTCATTTCATACTTTGTCTAGGCCTCTACAGCGTCGTCTCAGGCTCACTCGCACCCCCATTTCTGCGTCTCTTAAGGTAAGTTTTCATCTTCCAAGCCTAGTTTTCGCTCTATCTGAATTGCCCATCACATGTTTGATGATATGCTTGCATGGGTTGTGTTTGTTTTAGGAAAATTTGGGTCTTCTTACGAAAACTTGGAGTGACGTTACTAGTTTAAACAGCTGGGTTGTTCGGGACTATTACCGCCTTGTGAGCTCTGTTAACTCCCTTGAGCCCCAAATTCAGAGACTCACCGATGACCAGGTTTGTTGGTTTACCTTCCCTTGTTGTTTGTTCTATTGGATTTCTTTTGGCTATTTGAATAGTGGGTTGTGTTTGTTTTCTGTAGCTTACTGCTAAAACTGCAGAGTTCCGGCAAAGGCTGGGGAAGGGCGAGACACTTGCAGATATCCAAGCTGGTTGCAATCTTCTCTACTTACTAGATGATATTACAATGTCATATGGGATTTTTAATTTTTGGAGTAATTGTGTTCCTTGAATTATGCATATTTACAGAGGCTTTTGCTGTCGTTCGTGAAGCTGCAAAAAGGAAGCTCGGTATGCGTCATTTTGATGTGCAGGTCTCTATTTCTCGCTCTTATTTTGTTCACAGTTACATTTGTTGTGCTTGTGCATATAGCTTTATCTACATATGTAACTTTATGTGTATTTATTAACATAATGTTCACTTTTTATGTTTGTATATGTTGTCAATTTTGATGCCAGATTATAGGTGGGGCGGTGCTTCATGATGGGTCCATTGCAGAAATGAAAACGGGAGAAGGAAAAACGTTAGTTTCCACATTAGCAGCATATCTTAATGCGCTGACTGGTGAAGGTGTTCATGGTATGCTTCTGTGTTGGTTGTAATAGAAATTTTGTGATTTGGATACAGATATAGTTGTAGAATGGATGGAATGTCCAAATTGTCTCCACTGGTACATTTCTATGCAAATGTAATCTGCAGTTTGTTACAAACTCTAGCATATTATTTTTTCTTTTTGTTGGGAAATTTCAGAAATTAAAATGTTTTTTTTTAATGCTCTCTCTCTCAACACAGTGGTAACTGTAAATGATTACCTTGCTCAACGAGATGCTGAGTGGATGGGTCGTGTTCATCGCTTCTTAGGTCTCACTGTGGGCCTTGTTCAGGTAATTTTCTGTCTCTGTATATATTTTTTTATCTCTCTGCAATAGACTTGATTCCAGATACGTGATTCTAGGGACATGACAGCCTGCAAATGATTACCTTGCAATTTATGTATATTTTATTTTAATATTTATTGTGCATTTATTCCTATTTGCAACATAGAGGGGGATGACAGCTGAAGAGAGGAGATCCAACTATAGCTGTGACATAACTTACACTAATAATTCGGTAAGTCAATTCTACTGCTTGTTGGTAGTATTGCATTTATTTTACTTTTTATGTTTTTATGTTTTAACGTCTTCTAGTCTTGGTGTAGATGATTATGAGTTAGTGCATTCCATCCCAAAAAAATGAAAATTGCTTTCTTTCTGATATCTCATTGATAATGATTTACTCAGGAACTTGGTTTTGACTATCTACGAGATAACCTTGCTGGAAGCAGTGGACAACTTGTTATGAGATGGTACATCTCAAATAATTTTAGTTTTGTAAATACTTGTTTTAATAAAAAATAATTATTAGCAGTTTTGATGTGTAAAAAACAGGCCAAAGCCATTTCATTTTGCCATAGTTGATGAAGTTGACTCTGTTCTTATTGATGAAGGACGAAATCCATTGCTAATTAGTGGGGAGGTAAGTTTTCTAATGTTTCTTTATAGAATATCTTTATGTAATAGTGCGAATACTTACTATTTTGTAGTGGCTCAATGTGGCGTGGTAATGTGTAATTCCATTTAAAGAAAGAGCTCATTGTTGTAGATTTATGATTTTTTAATGCTTGTCCTTCTATCTCAGGCTAGTAAGGATGCTGCACGGTATCCTGTTGCTGCTAAAGTGGCTGATTTGCTTGTGCGAGACATTGTGAGTATAGTCTCTTCCTTTTATTTTCAGATTTACTCTTCTGTAGGTATTCATTTTATTTTCCCAATGCATGTATATGTATATTTTTTTCTATTATGTCAAGAATAATTTATGTCTCACAATCTTCGGCTGTACAGCATTACAAGGTAGAACTTAAAGATAACTCAGTTGAGTTGACTGAAGAAGGAATAGCTCTTGCTGAGATGGCCCTTGAAACAAATGACTTATGGGATGAAAATGATCCGTGGGCTAGGTAAAGGTGTATAGTATATGTTTAATTTTATCTTCTTCCTTTTTTTTTTTTTTTTTTTGAGGTGGGGTTC